TCTTGGTTAATGTAAGTTTATTACAGAACAGAGGAAAAGATTTTTCCATGTTTTTCAACAAAACCAGCAGATACTTATGAACTTCACTTAAGCCATTGCACTTAAATGGCTTAGAAATCTGAAAAATGATTAGGGCATCAATTTATTATGCATACAACTACATTTGCCAAAAAACACCCATAAATTTTGTCATGACTTCCATGTTTATCAGCTTTCCACAGTCTTGAATGCAAGAAGTGAGAAACCTACATTGTTTTGCATATATTTTACCCATTGTATGAAAGCACATACTGCTACTAGCTGAAATAACCTCCTTTACTTCATAAGCTATGAATATGAAATAACAGAGGAAAAGGAGAAGTAGCTTTATAGATAAAGTTATCAAAGCACTATTGTAGATAATGTACTGCATCTACAGTGACTATCTATCTTAGCATGTCCCCATTCAGTTGCTCATAAAAAACAACAACACATCACTGTTACCTTCCATACAGCTACGCACGTGAGCATTACTGATCTGTTATCCTTTCCTTGAAAGAATGCTCAGACTATGAGTAGAGGATGAAACCTTAAAACAATTTTTTCTCCTTCATTTTATTTATATATTCTTTAACATTAGGCTAATTCCAATATACAATATCACCTACACCTACATTCTTATGTCCCAACATCCCCTTAGCTTTGTGCTGTTGAAACAAATCATCTGTCTCTACTCTCAAAATCCTCTTAGGGTAGATACTTTGATGTAGTGAATTATATGTTTTGCCAACCATGCTTGTATATGGACAAAATAAATGCAATCAAAACCTGTAAACTTTACTAAAATGGAAATATTCTCTCACCCTGACACAGTGACAGATTAAACTAAAACAGAGTGGGCCAAACAGGTCATGTGTAACATTCTTATAGTGCTTTCATGATAACATATGGCGCTGTGCCACAGGGAACAATTTTCAAGTGCATATTATTACTTACATAAAGAAACACAGAGCTTTAGATGATGAATTTATACATAACTGGGAGCAAGATAACGTTGTTGCTGTTGTGCGATTAAGGGCCATAGTTTCTTTATCCCTAAGACACATTGTAGGTTATACAAAAATATAAATTAACATATGTCCTGACTGATTTAATATTAAATGTAATTCTCTTTGTATAGAGGCTTCCAGAACTTGAGTCCTGCAGCCTCACAGATCTTAATTCCTAGAGTAACCTAGGCACACATTAACACATTTAAGTAGAGACAGCAGAAAATGGTTAGGCACATACCATTCACATTCTATGCACAGCTGTCATTTTTAGAAATGTCAACTTTCTTGTACCTATAATGATTCACTTATCCGCATCTAAAACCTGACCAAATAGGGAACTGATGACATAAATATGTCCTTAGATTCTAAAAAAAAAATGCCATTGCTAAGAAATTCCTTGTCATCCTCACTACCAGATACCCTCTGGTGAAGTGAGCATAGCAAAGTGTCGTGCACCTCAACCCTACAGATACTTCAGTGCTACTCATGAGACACAGCTGCTGTGGCACCACACTCTCATCTAGCTCTCCTGCTTATTCTCTCCCTGCTTGTTTCACACTGTGTTGTGCAGGAAATTTCACATACATTCTACAAAGAGAGCATTTGTTTAGTTTGGTGAAGAGGAGGCTAACGGGAATTCTAATAACTGCCTACAACTGTTTGAAAGGGATTTATGAAGACATTGGAGCTAAACTCTCCTCCATGCCATTAAACAGCATAGCAAGGGCAACGATCATGCATTGCAGCTCTGAGGGTTCAGGCTTGACATTAGGAAAACCTTCTTTACCAGGAGGGCAGTACAACACCGAGACAGGCCCAGAGAGAGGCGGTGGGATTTCCACCCCTGGAGGATTTAAATACTGAGCTAGACAGTCTTACTTCTGTCTTTCAAGCAACATTTTTCTGTCTCTATCATTCTTTAGATACAAGTAAGTCTCAGATCATCACGATAGGCAAAGCAAAAGTGCATCAGTAAGAACCATATCAGTTCAATGGAAATAAACATAGCCACCACCTTGAAAGGTTCATAGAATTAGTTTCTGACAGGCTGATTAAGCTTCATAATAAGCCTGGATGGCAGGTAAGTATAAAGTCCGTTTCCTAGGTAAGAAGTGATGTGATCATTACAAGAAAAGTAAATCTAGTGAAGTCTCTGCAGTCTTGAGCTTGTATTCTAACCAACAGAATAATTTACCTCAAAAAGAAAAGAAGCAATCCCCAAAACCTTCTGCATTGTTCAATGAGCTCCTCAAGAGAGGGTTTTGGTTACCTGCCCACTCTCAAATAAATAAATAAATAAATAAATAATCAGATTTTGAAACTTTCATTCATTGCTGGGAGTGCCCTCCTACCAAACTTTTAACCTTCAGGACAAGATGATCTCAAGAGAAGACCTTGGCCCATTTGGTTCCTCCACGAGCTAAGCACATCAAATGAGTTACACAACTTGTATGGAAATGTGAACTCATGTTATTCCTTTCCTTCTGAAATATTTTGGATTATATTTGCTGTCAAATCTTTGTGAAGACACACCTGTAAAATGGCTTTGTGCAGGAACAAAATTGAGATATATATTCACTCAGTAAATCAAAGAGGAAGAAGTGCAAGGCTAGCTGTTATATGAGAATATGGTTTTCCACTGGTAGGATTGTAAACAGCATCCTACGTGACATTTTAACTGCAGAGAAAAGAAAGCAACACCGTTTAGATGGGATTCTTAAAAGGTAGAGCTATGAGGCTGTTGTGGTTTTCTGAAAGCAGGCCAGCCTGGGCACTCCGGCCGCATCTCGTTCAATCTGAGCAGCCTGCATGCTGCCAACAAGACATATGTTTCCTTAAAATTGTCGGGAATGCAAAGCAATGCGAGACAAGTCTAGACTGATCGCAGGATAAATGCAAGAAGCAACGAAGTGGATCCAAGTGTGTGGTGGATGATATTTACCTGGCAAGGAAACAGTTGCAAGTGTTCAAGTCCTGGAATGAGGTGGGGGAAAGAAGAGAGGGAGAAAGAAACCCTTTCCCAGAACAGCACTTGTTTCCACAGAAGACTTCACCTCCAATCAGTGGGGAAATTCAGCTTAGCTAAATTTGCTCTCCTCTTTGTTAGGCAAATACATCTCCCTCTTTCTCAACACAAGTATTTGCAGATCAGGTTGAAGAGCCAGGTCCTGAGCGTAGGTACTGTACAAGCCATGCAGTTTGATCTCACTCAAAAATTGCTGTTTCTGCTAAACCCACCAGATTATGCCCTGAGCTGTTGCTCTCCCCTTCTTTTGCAGGTACCTCCCTGATGCCCCTCCACCTACTGAAAACTTATTTGCAAAAATCCTGTACTTTGCCTTATGTCACTTCTTGATCATCCTAATCACACTACCTCTTAAAAAATAAAAATACATTTTTTAATGGCTTTCACTTAAAACTTACAGTGCTGCTCCTACCTTCCACAAAGTCCTGTCCTTGATCTAAACCCCAACACTGCACAGTTTGCTCCCAGGGATGCTGTTCAAATTGCCCAACTTATTCAGTACCTATTCTGACGGGCAGACGTCAGTCCTGGACAAACGGCCTGCCTGGCGGAGTACACTTCGATTTCCTCTGACTTACATGTGTTTGTTTCCTGTGGAAACAGGCAGCAGGTCAGAGGGAAAAGGGAGGAGGGCCACACACACCCAGGGCTGCAAGCACGGTGCCGACAGACCTCTCTTGTTAGTATTTTCCTTCTCAGCTTCAAAGTTTTTCCACTCATTAATAGTCTTTGTTTAAACTAACCAGTAGCTCTCGTCCATACCCTTTCTGACAAAGTGATCTTCACAGCTTGCTGCAACACTATGGCATTTACTTACTTCCCAAAGTTTACTTAAAATTAGTGTATATATAGGTTCCAGCTATTACAATACAGCTTCACTTGCTTTGGGGATTATTTATTTATTATTTATTTATTTATTTTTGTACGAAGACCTGCATTTTAGTATTGCCAAGTACCTACATTCAAACATAAGTACATTTTGTGATTGGCTTAAAAAATGATAGGTTTCACAAAATAATTTTGGGCTTCTTTTAGATGATATTTTCTTCTTTTTTTGAATATGAATAAAGCCTTTTACCCTCATACCCAATATTCCTGTGATTGTCTTTGAGAAAATGCTAAGTGCTTTGAGATTCCTAATGATGATGCAAGAATTACAACACATGGCTGTCTCTCAATACCCTTTTGCACTGTTTACATAATAGAAGTTAAAATGTAAAATTTGCAAGACTTGTTAATACCTTTAATTTATGTTTGTCATTAGAATAGTCTGTAACTCAATAAAAACTTTAGTTCTTAGTAATGGTTGGGCTCATGTTATGCCCATTTAGTGTTAATTCTTGTAATCACTATGAAACAAATTCCACTCTGTAAGAAGTTTTTAAAAGTACACAGGTCCAAATCCTGTCTGTGGCAATAGCCAGTTAAGTCAATGAGATTTAGAAATGCGTATCTGAGGTCAGAATCTAGTTCATTGTCGTTTCACACAGCACCAAAATGCTCACATGGAGCACATCCAAATCCAAATGCATATCACACTGACTTTGGTGTGTGCTAAAATCTGTAGAGGCTGAGTTTTCTCCCTTTCCTGTAATGCTTTTCTTGTGAGATTTAGCAAAGTGATCATTAAATACTTAAACTTACGTAAGGCTCAGTAGGAGCAATGTTCTGATCTTCTAACAGACAGCCTTAGAAGGAGCTAACACTTTGCATGCATGGAGACATACTATAATCGTAAACAAAGATAATGTATTTCCAAATGGCATACAGTAAGAGCTTTTGTAGCGTGTGCTAGCCCTCAGATAATATGTTAATCCAAAAATTCTTTTCAGATGACCCAGTTCATGGACTGGAATTTTTATGCGTACATATTTGGAAGTGTACGTGTGTATGTGTGCACAAATTTATATGCAGAGAAGTGTGTCTGCACAGAGGCTTGCCGTTTAAGTGGGAAAGCTGAAGGAATGCTGTCAGTTCCTGCATGGGCCCCACAGTAAAGCACCTTATAGATGGATGAGAGTCTAGTTCTGGGTATTTACAAGTGTATTGTACAGAACAGAGTCACACATCAGGACAGGGTCCTCACTGGTAGAGCTGCTTGTCATTCATCTTTTGCTGCGAATGGTAAGTCTCTTTGTGTGCTTGGATATTAGTAGAAAATAGGAATTCTAAATAGCTTCTTTCACTTTACAGATGAGATGAAAAATGACATTTATTCATTTCCTACATTCTAAACATCTGATGTTATTTGAAATATGCTGAAAATGAGCAATTATCTTGAGGCACAGCCAAGCAAGTTTTTTAATTTGTTCTTAATAACTTGTGAGCAGTTCAAGATTTCTGCTTTCTGGGTGACAAGGTCAGTAACCAAACTGACAAAATATAATATTTATCTAAGCAGTACAAGTGGCTACTTTTCAAAATTGTTTCTTTATTGGAGGGCACTTTGACCTTGTTTTGGATTTTGTTTGCCCAATCATATCTTAGTCTTGCCATTTTAACCACACATGTCAGCAGATTTCAAACAATTGTAAGTTTTCTGTGACCAAGTCCTTATTTTTAATAACATGTCCTCTTTTTTAATATCAAGATCTAGACTACTGTTTTCATATCTCTAGCACAGTAACTGGTTAGAAGTCTTTTTTTTCTGTGTTTGATTAGTAAAGCTGATAGATTTAGAGGGTTGGGTTGCTATTGCAATTGTTTTGGCAGGATGGAAAGAAACATACAAGTTTATTTGTAATGTATGAAGTCCTTGACATACTGTACTGTACTTCAGAGGCTCCACAATTTATTTTTTAATTGTGGCTTGCCTTTAGTCCTTTCCAATTTCTTTCCTTTCGTTTTCCAAACAAAGCTAGGCTGTCAAAACCTAAGTTTACAGATTTTAACAGCTAGATCCGATTACTGAGCTTATTTTTTTATTTACTATTATCATGAGTCTGCACAACTCATGACTAAGTAGAAGATCTCTGCATATGGGCTAAAGAGAGACACTAGCCAGCAGAAACAAAATATCCTTCTGATTTCACCACTGCTGGACTGAATGCTTTTGCCATCATCATCCATAACCATTTTCTGAAATACTGCTTTTAAAAAGTTCTCATAATGAAATCACTGCACTGGCAAATAGCTTTGTCAGATCCAGTAATAACTTTTCCAGGGGCAGCAACACAGTTTGCTTTGGCTAGTTTTGTCAGAATTTTTATTGGTTTCCTTAAAGAATTCTTACTGGTTTCCTACAACTTTAATACAAAAAGAGCATTTTTCAAGAGAACATGCAAGAGTGGGGCAGAAAAGGAAGGGCGAGCTCTTCCTTTTCAATTAAACAATCTCCACAGGTCCTGCAGATCAACATGGGAAAGAAAAGGAAAATTGGAAATAATATATCCTATATGTCTACTGCATAAATCATGGAACAGACCTCCCTGATATTCTGTGCTATTTACGCCTAAGTCTTTCACTTGTTTCAGCAAAGCCTTACTGCAGCTACCTAAAGGCTTTCATTTTCAGATGTATTTTTGGGGAGGGAGGGACTCACACACCATTTGGTTCAGCAGGTGACAGCAGAATAAAGGGCATTCTTTTAAGAATGCTTTGAAGTTCATTCTACACCTTCCTAAGCATTTGGCAATTACTGCCTCTTCACATGAAAAACTAATAAAGAAAAAACACAGCTCAAACAGGAATACAGTCATTCTCTCTCCTTGTTTTTTTTTTTTTTCTTTTTATTTATTTATTTTTTTCCCAGCCATAGGAATCAATGACTGGGTTAATTCAGCATCCACCCTGCTGGGAGACAGAAACTAAGAGGAAACTTGCAACCTACAGCCTACATTTTAGAAGATAACTGTCAAAAAAAAAAAAAAAAAAAAAAAAAAACTTGCTATGGAAAGGTCATTTTCTCACTCATTTATACACATTAATCACCAGAAAAGAAATGCAAAGGTAGAGATCCGATATTTCAATCAGATCTAATTTTTGACATTACAGAAGAATAGATGAGAGATCTTATTGGACTTCAATTCAACTAATACCTTGAGGAATATATGAAACATCTGCTGGTGCTTAAAAAACAGGTCTAAACTTGCTAAAGAAGGCCATTATATTCAGACTTTCTTTCTTCTAATTCAGATGCTAAAGTAGAAGTGTTGTACTAAAAAGTTTGTAATTTCAACTCAACCTGAAAAGAGAATAAATTTTTGGGTCATCTTACACAAGCTTTTTATATAAACCCCTTATACCAACTCATGTGCTACTGTTTATGGGTATACATGAGCCACCAAGTCTAGAACGGTAGCCATCCTATATTCAAACACAAGAGATGCAGTAAGTGGGAGGTAGAGCAAAACTAACCAGAACAGATGGAAACAACTACAGGAAGAGAAAGACCCCTTCATCATCAAAGCCCTCTAATGCCGTGGCGAAATGGTTAATATTATCATCATTTTGGTGACATGCAGACTGGAGAACTAGACAATGAATGGTTGGAAAATTGGCTGGCTCAAAGATTTGTGACCAGTGCTGCAATGTCCAGCTGGTGACCCGCAGAATCCTTCGGGTGACAATACCAAGACCACTAACTACTGTTTAATGTCTTTATTAGTGACCTGGATGGTAGCACTGAGGGCATGCTCACTCAGCAAGTTCACAGACTATACCGACTTGAGAGATGCAGTTGATAAGCAAGGTGGCAGGGCTGCAAATCAGAAGAACCTTGACAAAAAGGAACAGACAGGAACTACATAAAATTCAACAAAGCTCAACAAGTGCAAAGTCCTGCAATGTGGACTGAGCGATGACAAGAAACAATTTAGGCTGGGTTCCAGCTGCCCAGGGAGCAGCTTTGCAGAAAAGGCCCTGGGGACTGTGATGGGCAAGCTACACATGAGACAGCAGCATGTCCTTGCTACAAAGGTTTGTCACCTGCTGGGTCATGTTATCAAGAGCTCTCAGAAGATTAAAGAATGTAGTTATTCCACTGGATTCCACTGGATTCCACTTTTTAGCCCACACAGGGAATACTGGGTCCAGTTTTGGTCTTCCCAGTTCAAGTGAAACATTGAAAAATTATAGAGGGCCAAGAAGAGGGACATTAAGATGATCAGAGAGCTGAAGAACTAGACATATAAAGAAATCCTCAAAGAATTGGGTTTGTTTAGCCTAGGAAAGAAAAGCCTCAGGGGTGGCCTCATGGTATTCCAATACCTGAAAGATAGTTACAGAGTAGGTGGAGGTACTCCCTTCACAAGGACACACAGTGGCAGGACAAGAAGCAATGGATACAAGATGCTCCACAGAAAATTGTCTGGATATAAGAAAAAAATCTTCATTGTGAGTTTGTCTAAAGAAGTGCTGAATCTACCGTACCAGTAATATTCAAGACTTACTCAGACAGCCTCTTAGATAACCTGATCTAAGGCCCTGTTTTCAATACAAGTTTGGAACAGGTGATCTTCTGAGGTCTATTCCAACTTGGATTTTTCTATACTTCCGTAGGTGTAAACACAGCAAAAACAAATAATGTGTGAAAAAGAAAATTATACATAATGCTGTCAATACACACCATGAAAAATGTATTCCCTTCCCACTGTCCTTAAATTTTTAAGAAACTTTTCCATAAATTGATGAGAAAGCCAAGCTATTTTTTAAAAGCAAAATAACATTTGTATTTCTTTACAAGGGAAAAGCTGAGAGATTTTATCGTCTAGTCCCATTTATTTCACTAATGATACATTATGTCTGAAAAGCCTTATGGAAAGTAAGACTCTTCAGCATCATATCTGAGTGCTAAATTAAGGCTTCTATCGCCTTCTTCACATCCCTACATTGAAATCAGCTTTGTCTGCAAGTAGTCCTATCTTTTGTCATAACAGTATAGTTTTGGATCTTTCAGCTTACAGATGTCCTGCCCTGTTCAGTGGCAGTGAGAAAGAGCAAGGATACAACTTTCAGTTGGTTGCTCACAGAATACAGACATCCATACCATTCTTCCTAGCAGATTAATAAAAACTTTTTTAATAAATAATAAAAAGAAAAAAGGCAGCACAACTCACATATTTTTGGCTTGTCCAAAGAAATAGTAAGAATCAAACCCAAGGAAATGGCTTGAACCTGCAGGAGTTCAGGTTCAGGCTCATTATCAGGAAAAGGTTCTTCACCAAGAGGGTGGTTGGGCACTGGAACAGGCTCCCCAGAGATGTAGTCATGGCACTGAGCCTGACAGAGATCAAGGAGCATTTGGACACTGCATATGGCCTGATGTTTGGGTGGTCCTTTGCGGACCCAGGAATAGGACTCAGTGGTCCTTGTGGGTCCCTTCCAACTCGGGATATTCTGTGATTCTATGTTTCTATGAAACCCTACTGAAATTTCTCAGTGAACAACAGCTTTTGAGAACTCTGATATAACGTATGTTCTAAAACAAACAGTAATGCTGGAAAGGAGAGATTGTTGTTATCAATACTTCTGTTAGAACACTGATTCTCTGTTTAACTATATCTCATTGTGGAACTTCACTGTTATTTCCTATTTCTACATATTTGTGAATGAAGATTTAAAAACTGTAGCTATGTAATCACTAAATGCAAAAAAAAAGAAATTACTATTATTCTATTTAATTCTAAATTAATCAGAGCAACACTGATATCATGGTCTTCCTTGACATATCTGCAAATCATCTATAAGCTTTTTCACATCAAAATTTCAGTATCTCGTGCATACAAATATGCTACTAAGACCAACACTTCAGCCTGAATTTCTATAATACTCTCTTGGTCATAATGGCTACACAGCCTGCACTTTTGAGACCTTCTTTGAGACCAAAAGTCCCTTGATTATAAAAGTGAATACCTAATAGAAAAAAGACTTATTATGGGTAAATTGTGCCCACTGCTCATTCAGAGTACAACAGCTGATAGTGGGAGAGAAACATCTGCTCATTTACAAATTACACCTGGTTGTAAAGATGCAGTCTAGGATATGACAAGACAAGCAGGAAGAACTGACACAGAATGGTTGTCTTGTGTTTGCTCACTAAGAATTCTATCATCAGTAATTTTGCTTTCAAAAGCTTATCTTTCCACATAATTTTGCCAAGGGAGGTACTTGGATATGCCACCTTTTCCTTCACAGTGTTATTCTCCATGCAAACAGGCCAAAGAGGAGTCAGGAAAGGGGTCAACAGCACTTTTGAGACACTTAGCAATGCATTAAAAAAGATCACTCGAAGAACATCCGTCAGCATAAGGCTGAAAAGTAAAATCTGGATAACTTGTTTCCAGTTAAAGCCTTAAGTCATCTGGCGGTGTGTTGATACTGCTTGCAAAATATTTATTCTTAGCTTCTAAGAATGAAATATGGATGACAACTATACAACAATTAAAAACAAAGGCAAGAGAAATTAATGAAGAAGAAAGATGGGGATTATTTTTACCACTAAATGTTACTGTGCTTTCTTATAGGGGCAACATTACACACATTCTAGCAAGCAATGCCTTTAGTGCAGTATATAATGAGATAGAACAACCAATTTTCCTCTTTCTAGTCACTTAAGTTGTAAGCAACAACATCTTTTGTTTAAAAACCAAGTGTTCTGTTTAATAGCACAATTCCACTGGCACACTTAGGTCTGTGTACGAAGGGAATGTTTTAAATAACTGCAGCTCTAATGCTTCATCCTGGTGGAGGTCAGGCTGCCTATGCTGCTAGTGGTTGGTTCAGCACAAGGTACCACTTTCTTCCCTGAAATTCCCCGGGGATTAACAAGCAGAGACCCCTCTTCTGCTGATGCTCCTAAGCTTCCTTCTTCTGCTCCTTCAAATCTACAAGCATCTCCTCTTAGAGCCACTTTGTATTCTCATTCCTGTCTAACTACACAGCAATTACCAGAAAATATTGAATGGTCAACAGTAGCAGCCACTAGAGGACTTTGTCAGTCCCTCCTACACAGAAACTTGGGATATATGACCATATAGAAATCTACAGTTCTGCAGTTTGTACTGTTTATGGTACTGGATATTCCTATGTGTGATTCTAAACTGATTTATGAGCATAACTTTTTGTTTGTTTGTTTGCTTTTGAAATTTGGAAATTGTTACAGAGTTAAAGCTAATTGCAAACTGAGTGACTGATACAGCAGCAGGGATTTCTGTCACAATATCATCTTCTCCAATTGAATTGCTCCTAGAGGTTGGCATGGTGGTGCATGTACATGTGATGGGACTCTTTCACCTTTAGACTGTAACTTTTTAGCAAGGCAGGAGATTTCTCACCTCTGCTTGTAGCCCCAAGCACTGCACTTCAGAGGGTGAAGGTGCAATGAAGTAATTCAGGTCATGCTACTAGTTTTTGAGTAGTAAATAACAGAGTGTTTTGCTCAACTGTATAGCTACTGTTTGTGTAAAGACTTGAGGAAACAACTTTAAGCAGTGATAGGAACTTACTAGGAACAGCAGATGAGACCTTCTAGCCCTCTGAGCAAGCAAAGAGGCTGTACCAACACTGAAATCTGCAAGGCAAACAAAAGTTGAATTAGTCTTCAGTTTGTGAGTAGCATCGCCCGGCTGGCGACAGAATTTTTTTTCTCTCCGACGAAAAAGATGACTTCTGTCATCTCCGCTTCAGCGGAGATAACGTTCTCCGTGAAGCAGGCTTTGCCTTAACATGACTGTCTCTCCGGTCGGTCTCGGGCCGCTCCCTCACTCCCTCAGCGGCTCAGCCTGCCAGCTCCCCTGGTCCCGGGCCTTTTCGCACCGAGCCCGGCCGGGAGGAGGAACGGGCGGCCTCCTGACAAGCAGCCGACGGCTGCGGAACCGCCGGTCCCCGGCGCCTCAGCGGGGCGGCGGCGTTGAGGAGGCGCGTTACCGCGGCGGGCTACCGACGCGAAATGGCGCCTCCCGGGCGCCCCGCCACGTCCCTCTGGGGGTCTCCTTTCCCCCCCCCCTACAAGTGCCATCCATCCTCGCTGGTACCACTGAAGGCGCTCGCCGCAGAGCCTGGCGGGCACTGCGCCGTCCCTCAGTGCCGGGCGGCGGGCAGAGCGCGGCACTCCCGGGCGGCCCGTCCCGCCTCGACGGGCGTGCATCCTGCTCCCCGCCCGCCCTCGGCGGGCTGCCACAGCCTGCCCCGGGAACACCGTCCCCTCGCACTCACGGCACTGCCCCGGCCGCAGGGGGCGGCGGGGTGGAAACGGGCGGGGTAAAGTTTCTCCCGTGCTCGCCCCGTCCCTCCCTCTCGGGGCGCGCACACACACACACACGCACGGAGACACCTCTGCCTTCGCAGGCGGCCGAGGAGCACTTTTGAAAATTATTTTCTTTCCACACCCAGCCCGCGTCTGACATCATTTCTGCAGGAGGGAGGGCAGGAGGCAGCCGCCGCCGCCGCCGGACGGTTGCACCCGGGCGGAGAGCCGCCGCCGGCCCCCGGCAGTGAGTACGGGCGGGCCGGGCGGGGGACGTGAGGGGCTGGGGCCTGGCGCTGGCACCGGGACCGGACGGGACGGGAGGTGCGTGAGGGAAGGGGGGAGCCGCTTTGCAACCGGGGGGAAGAAGAAACCGCGACAAAAATACGAAAATATAATCTGGGGCGGGGGGGGGGGAGTTGTTTACTACGCTGCCCCCCTCCGTACCGGCCACGGAGCTCGACCCGGCCGCCCCCCAAGGGGCTGTGTGGGGCCGGGCCGGGCCGGGCCTCCCGAAGTTCGCCGTCTCTCTTCTCTGCTCTTTTTTCTTCTTTTTTCTCGTTGATGGGATTTGAACGGAGTTTGCGTGCACTACGGTAAGATTTGATTGTTTTTGGCAGCTCACCCCCTCTAGTGGAAGGAAAATACATTTATATATAATTCAGTGCAGATTTGGGTTTATGGCATTTTTGCCAGCGCTAGGCGTTTTTCCACTTGAGTCGAGCTACAGGTCCAAAAAGCCATTCTGCCTGTCCCGTTGGTGCTTTTTGCAGCTGTGATGCCCGGCTGACACCTGGGATATTAACGTGCTAGGTACTGGAGGGGCCATTCAGCTTCAGCAGCGCGGGCTGCTCGTGGAGCTGGGTATTCCATCTGAGAGGTCAGCTCCTTGTTTGGACATCTCTGGGATGAATACTGCACAGCTCGCCTTTCCCTGACTTCCCTGGGGCTTGATCAGAGCCCACTGCCATGAAATCTGCCGTTCAGTCTCTCTGTTAAATTCTTGGCAGAAATGCTTTGTTCACATGGTGCAGGGATGTGGTGTGGTTTGGTTTGGTTTTGTTTTGCTTTGCTTTTCAGCACCTGAGAATACTTTGGAAATGATGAGTAATTACTGCAGTTGAGCATCGTAGAAGTATCTGACTTTATAGAGGTGTGTGGAGAAACCCCCGGGATAGCTATAATCTGCACATTTTGATGTGTAAAATCACATTTTCTTAGAGTTCTTTAGGAGTTTTAGAAATAGGGTTGGAGTTTTAGAACTAGGGTTGGCCAGTCTCCATCAAAAAAGGAAGAGCAGCACTTTCTCTTCCCTTACTTTCAGACTCCTTACATCCAGTGCTGGTATGTTAGCTGTGTAAAGTAAGCCTTCTTGCCTGCCTGAGCAGATATTTTTGCTGTCAAATGAAAAATACCCTGTAATGACACTTCCATCTGGACCTGCTCTATGACTTGAATTTTGGAAGCTTTGCTGCCCAGGCAGTGTTGGGCCGTTCAGGAAGAGGGCTGCCGGGACAGATGGCAGGTGGCTGCAGAGGTGGGCAGGCATGTGATGAACACACGCAAGTGGTTCAGCGTGGGGAAAAACCCGAGGCGCCTTCTGCATCCCATTGTGAACTTGTAAAATCAAGCTGGAGAATGGATACCTGTAGGAAGGTTCCTCCTCTGTGCTGAATAAAGATGCATACAGGTTTTGTCACTTCAGCTGCATGGCTGACGTAGGTTTTATCAAGTAAGCTACATACACAGCCAGGCCGGGCTGATTTTGAGGAAACCAGGAATTATTCTGCTAACTGATTAGCTGTCAACATTAAGTGTGAAATGCATTAATACCATGAAATCTCTTACAAGATGATTGGTTTCTTGTTAGTATACTCCTTCAGGAAAGAAAACAGTCTCTTGATATTATTTCAAATAAAAACAACACAATACTAGTAGACAAGACACTACTGGTGGTGTATGATTTATTTGTGATCTCTGAAAGGAATTCTGTCATAAACACCCAAACAGTGTTGGTTGTGTTGTGGGTCTGCCAGTGAGGAAAAACACTGTATGCTATTTGCTTACACAGATTTAAAGCCTTGCTAATAATGGAAGTTGTTCAACAGACAGAGCAGGTTAAGACTGATGGCTGCTCTTGGCCTTCATATTCTCAGACAAGCTCTATTGCAATTCTCAGATGCCATAGTTACTGTTTCTGGCCAACGCTGCTTAAAAGAAATCATCTTCAGCTTCATCTTGTATTCGGTGATGGTTAACGATTGATCATGCCTTGATTTATTAGCATTTCTTGCTTCCCAGATGTTTTGTATCTTTCTGTCACTTCCATTTTCATGCCTTTTATTTTGTGGTGTTGTTTGTCTCAAGGTTGTTAACCATCTTGGGTTTGAAGTTCCTACAATGATTGGAAGAATGTTGAACTGATGAGTCCCATATTGGTATTTAGAGGAGCAAGACCTTCCTCTGTGTTTGCTAAATATATTAGTTGTAGTCCGTCTCCTTTCATAATGCTGTTTTCCTGTCCATTTAAAAATGAGAGGTATTTAAAAATGAAAGGCACAAGGAGACTTTTTTTTTTTTTTCACTTTACTGGTTTGTGCATATTCTGGTTTTGCACTTAGACTTTGTGTTCTATTTGTGTCTAGAATGTCATGTAAGACATGATACCACCTCATAAATCACTACAAGAATGCTTTTAATTAGAGATAAGTAGGTCTCTGGGGACAAGGTTTTTGTATTGCTAGCCAGCAGAAGATGTTCTTTCCAAGTCCTACTGCCACATTCCTGTTGGAAGAAAACCCAGCAGAAAAAGGCACTGTTTTATACAGGAACTAATAAGAAAGAGATTTATTCTGAAGTGTACCAAACACTTTATATATAAAATCCATATAATATTTCAACGCAGCCAAATTTGAAAGTGGAAAGGAATGCACGTCTTTTATTGAAATCACATTGGTCTCAGATGGAAAGCAGGGGAAACATAAGCCACAGCACTAAGGAATTCCATTCATGGAGCTGTTGGAGCTGTTCAACATTTGTTAGGTTTTGTTTGTAGCTTTTTTTGCGTGGTTTTTTTTTTTGTTTGGTTTGTTTGGTTTTTGTTTTTTTTTTTTTTTGGATGTTCAAAGCAAACCAGTGATCTTTGTGGTGTGGTCTTGGTATTTACTGTCTTTGTTGAAAGCTTTACTATTTTAGAGAGGAGATAATTTTGTAGCATATATCTCACTGTATCAGGTGATGCTCATGACTTCATCAGGAAGATAAGCATCTCAGGTTTTAGAAAACAGATCTTGCTGGGTGGGATTCAAGAGAAAGCCTGATGGCCTGAATTCATCCATCAAAGGAATTATTATTTCTTCACTGAATAAGGAAAATGTAATTACACCTTTTTATTTTGCCTGTGAAGTTTCATGGGCAGGTTTAATGATGGTATGTGCATGCCAGATGAAGCCTCATAATTTGGGTGTGACCTTAAAATACAACCCTCTGGCTGTATAGAGACATTTACAGGAGTCTGTAGGTTGAGCAGAAAGTGGACTGACTCAAGCACCCTTTGGAGATGGCTATAGGATATATATTTGTGGTTTATTTCTCTGGTTCTTAAATGCTACACCTTGTCTGGAACTGCACAGGGTGCAGACAGCAGAGGTGGGCGGTCTGAACGCTCCCTTGGGCGCCCAGTGCAGGCACAGAAGGGGACACATGCCCTTCTTCCAGGCAGAAGTCCCTGGTGCTGCTGCTGAGCTATGCGTTTTTTGGGCTCACCTGGTCTCCAAGGCTGGCAGCCCTCAGTCCGTGGAAGCTGTAAACCAGCAGCATAACTCAAACTCAGAACCAAGCCAGGCATGTAAGAGCAGCCCACCCGGCACAGGGGGCTGTGAGGTGGATCGCTGTTGGGGCAGGAGGTGGCCGGGCTCTGCTGCCACAGAGCCATGCACCTGCCGGGTGCAGCTCTGCAGCAGAAGTGGTGTTAGAAGTCCTGCTGATCTTGAAGCTTCCCTTTCCATTGCAACAGTTACAAAGTAGCATGTAAAAATGGTGTTCTGAAGGTTGATTGCTGGGTTGAGTATTAAATCCAGTCACATGCCACTGTGTTGCTGTGAAACAAAATAGTAGTAGTGGGGGAAGAGTTTGCTTTCCGTTTTATAGCCAACAGTTCTACAGTCAATAGAGATGTTATTTTCACACTCCTGATAGATGATGTGTAAACCCTGAAATAACAAAAATCCAAATTTCCCAATACAGCGCTAGTCATAGCCAAATCAAAACAAGCAGTTTGGAAATGTTACAACAGTGAATGTAACACATTTAATTGCTTGCAATTTCCATAGAGCATCTGCCAAAGTTAAAACAATATCAGCTTTCATTTCTACTGAATTAAACACATTGCTTTCAATCTGGAAAAACAGACCTTTTCTGCCTTTGTTTGTTGGTTAATTAGGTGGAACAACATAAATCACTCAAGCTGTTCTGTAGTATCTGGATTAGTCTTTGGATAAGCAGAAGTCGATAGTCAGTAGAGCCCAGGTTCTGAGATCTGCTCATATAACTTTGTTAATTCTGGAATTAACACTGCAGGTGTGGGTTTTGTTTGTTAGTCTCTCCCCTCTCTCCCCTTTTCTCATTTTCTATTTTCTTTTTTGTTTCTTTACTTTTTTTTTTTTTTTTTTTTTTGTTAATTAGATCAGACAGATGACACATTTAAGCTGTCAATCTGATGAAAAAGGTCTGGTGTTACACGTGGTCCGTCCCTCCCTGCCCCGATGAGGCACTGAGTGGGGACAGCCTCAGCACCGAAACGTGGTCACGCAGTGTCTCAAGCAGGGGTGAGGCCTGGCCGCACCTCAGTTCAGTTACTTGCTGCAGGAGCAGGTTCCCAGGCAGCTTCCCACAGCTCAGTAGCTCGCTGGAGTACCCCATCCATGTCCCTGTCCCAGCTGCAGGTGGCTGTGTGCTCAGCCCCTGGACCTGCGGCAGGATGGTGCCAGCAACCTGCACTGAGCTCTGCAGCCCTGCACCAGAGCTGCCAGTGCTGGGAGGCAGCAGGGACCTGTGGAGCACCTTCAGGAAGAGGTACAGGCCTTGCTCGTTGCAGCTTTACCACCCACCTGAGAAATTAATCCTGCCTTAAAGCCGCTTGCATGTTGTTGGTCCCATGGTTGTGTCCTGTGTTACTCCACTGCACAGATCTATGCTTGGCTTTGCTCCCAGCAGCACCTGAAGTCTTTGAAAGAAAGGAAGGAATCC